TTGTTCTAATAATAATACCCTCTCAGTTTGAGACAAAGGTCGTTTGGCACCAAATGCTAACGCTTGCTCTTCAGCAACACGCTCAACTACTTCCTGTCTCGCACGAATTGCATAAAATTCATTACATGCCTGAGCATATGCCTTACTTTTTGACATTCCGGTCGACATGAGATAAAGTTGATATTTTATCACGCTATTATATAACGAAAATAATTAGAGTAAAAATTTTTTTCACTCGATTAAAATTATTTTTTATTCTTATTACCTCTCACCGCTAATTTGGGTAGGGTGCCTACCGCCCAATAAGGTGCTCCAGTCTTCTCTAACAGGTATCTCTTTTTCGATTAAGCTTTGAGGTCGCAATAATTCATAAGGATGATCTCTATAGAATCTTCGTCGTAAGGAATCTTCTTCATACACAATCTTTTGTGGTCGTTTGCGAAATTGAAGTGGGGAACGAAGGACACTTGAACCAGGTGGAACTGTCTTCATAACCGGAAACCAAATTGGTGGGACTTTGTAAATGCCACCCGCCAGAAGCCGTGATACATGGTCGTGAAGTTTCGTGGGTGATCCACGATACATTTGTAAAAATAAAAAAATGAATTAAAAGATGTTTATCGTTATAAATTTTTGCAAATCAATTCTAATTGACGAACCTCTTATACTGCGTCTATATTCGTATGCATTGCGTCAGGTGACGAGCATTTAATATTTAACATAATCATGCAATAATAATATAATATATAATGATTACCTTCTTTACGACTAAGTAGAGGTGGTTGGCTTTATTAATCTGTTCATTTTACCGTTACTTTAATCTCAAACATGAGTTCCGCTCCCGTATCTATGGAGGACCAGCAAAAACTTTTAGAGGAAGCATTGAATGTGGTTAAAGTTCAGGCATTTCAAATGAAAAAATGCCTGGTAAGTTAGATTATAGTTCAGAATAGATTTACATGTAACGCACGGCTCTTTTATTTACCTTCTGTTTATAGGCCAACAACAAACTTATGGATGGCTTGAAACATTGTTCTACGATGCTAGCAGAATTGCGGACATCCGTATTGACACCAAAAAATTATTATGAGCTCTGTATCTTTTTTTCTTCAAAAATAAAATAAAAATAAATAAATAAATAAATATATAATGATAGCAAAGATTCTTAGCAATAAGTATTTTCAATTGAATTCCTGAACTATTGTTACTTGTAAAGATATGGCAATTTTTGATGCTCTCCGACACCTCACAACATATCTAATGGACGCGCATACTTCGGGAAGGCATCACCTTGCAGATCTTTATGAATTAGTGCAGTACGCAGGAAATATTATTCCACGTTTATATCTTATGATTACTGTTGGAAGTGCTTACATGTCACAGAGAGATGCACCAGTCAGAGAGATTATGAAAGATATGATGGAGATGTCTCGTGGTGTACAACACCCGACGCGTGGATTATTTTTGAGGCATTACCTGAGTGGGATGACGAGAGATTCATTACCTGTCGGGAGTGATAATGGGTACTAGGCATTCCTGTTTCTTTCTCTTCATTTTTCTTAAAAGAAAAAAAGTATATATATTTCAAAAACATAATAAAAGATTGATATCATTTTTGATTTTTATAAAGTCCTCAAGGCAACCTTCAGGATTCAATTTCATTCATTCTTACTAATTTTATTGAGATGAATAAGTTATGGGTCCGCCTTCAACACCAGGGGCATTCGCGTGATCGT